TATTCCAGATATTGTTGCCTTTTTACTCTTTTGATTAACTTTAACTACATATTATTTTCGTAACACCAATCTGGTACGCTGATGTTATTTATATCTAATTAGATTCGATTTTGTCCTTATATCAGTACTTTTGGAAATACTATTACTGCATTTACTATTAGAGAGAGTTTATAGTGGGAGAATCTCCTGTACCTTAACGGCTTTGGCTTTGTACAGTGTCTTCTTTTTCTCTAACACATTGATACTATTATACTATATGGGAGTATCTAACTCCTTTCAGTGGGATCCCCTGTATTGTATCTTTTTGTTGACACATAGAGACTAATATAATTAGTTTTAATTCATACCGATTGCAACAGATTCCCCTGCAGCTGTATTGTACTGACATTTTGTATTACAATTTATTTCTGACACGCAAGAATCATTACACTCTATGCATTGTCAGCTTTACTTAGGGGGCTTCCACGTATTGTATCTATTCCTTGACTTATAGATACTACTATTTATTCATAGTATAAACTCTTTCTATTATCTTATCGATCTATTCTTAATTTTCCTTTAATTTATCTTTTTTATTTCTATGTATGCTCTTTGTCTTGGCTGCCGTAATTGACTTTTGTTTAGTCAGGCAGCCATTGCTTGGGTTTTTTTCAGATTTATGTTTTCTAGTTATAAATAAAATATCTTCCAGATTTTTAACAGCTTGTGTGTATCCGACTTCGGCATTAGGAAGAGATTCCTCTTTCCTTTTTCTTTGTTCTACAATTATTGAGGGTTACCCCCTACTCTGTTCCTATAGACACTAGGACATTGATGTTCTGGCCACTTTTCAATATTTACTACTTATTACTAGATTAGGAACAACTGATGTGTTGAGAAAACAAATCAAGATAAGCAATAAATAAATAATAAAGACCCAAAGCAAAGGTTGGGAAACTGAAAAAAATAATGAACCTAATAATGAACTAAGACTGAGCCTAAAATAATCGCTATCATACTAGAATCTGAGGCAGCATGAAGAATTCTTGATGTTGCATATTAGTCAATTCAATAGTTAATTCCTAATATAAAAGGAATTTTATATAAAGGGGATACTGAACCAGGTCCCAGACTAAAGAACTTTTTAACTGTACTGGAAAAAGGAAAAGAGCTAATGATAATAATTGTCAAGTTGGAAAGAAAAGGAAATTATAAATTAAAGATGTGAGAAATATAAAGTGAATGTAGACATTCATTTATGAATGAAAGATGTAAAATTGAACTCCTCATTAAGACCATTTGGAGCCAAAGTTTTAAAGTGGTAGATCCATCTTGATTCCTTCATTAATAACATCTTATTGTAATTTCCTTTCCTAGAGTTCATAGATAGCTTTTCAATGGCTTGAAAAGTGAGATGAGTAGGGTCTCTGCTATGATGTAATCTTACATGATTTGCCACTGGAGTAGAGACTTTCAAATTTGTGATGGAACATACATGTTGAAGAATCCTTCTTTTAAATTGGTGGTATGTATTACCAATATATTGGATCTTACAACTACAAGTTATAAGATAAATGATTTTAGTAGAATTGCAGTTAATGAATTCTTTGACTTGGTATTCCTTAGATGTTATCATACTCACAACAGTTTTAGTTGGTTTAATGTGCTTGCAGGCCTTACAGTGGCCGCACTGATGTACCCCGGCGACTGGTGTCAGCCATGTTGAATTGCGATTGCTGGGTTCAGTATGGCTGTGGACCAAATGGTCATGGAGGTTCCTTGCTCTTCGTGCAGTAATGGTTGGGAAATTACTGATGTTATCCTTAAGATCTTTATCATAGTTCAAAATGGGCCAGTTGTGTGACATAATTTTCAAAACTGGTTCCCAGTATTGGTCAAAAGTTCCAATACAACGGATAATATTGGAATCTGTCTTTGATCTCTGAGTTCGTAGGCTCTCACTTCTATTAATTGCGGATGCCTGTTGGTATGCTCTTTTGGGGATTTTGTTCAGATATCCTTTTTGTTTAAACATCAAACGCAGTTTATTAGCTTTCTGATGGAAGGTTTCATCATTGGAGCAGTTCCGTCTTGCCCAGAAGTATTGCCCATATGGGATGCCTGATTTAAGTTTTATTGGATGATGACTAGTCCAATTGAATAGACTATTTGTTGCAGTGGTTTTTCGTTATAGTTCCGTTTCAATTGTTCCATCGAATAATATCTTGATGTTCAGGTCTCAATTACATGGGTCAATTTGAGACCTATTGTGTTGTCATTGAGTAATGTGACCATTTCTTCAAACTGAGAAATGGAACCCAACCAAAAAAACAAGATATCATCAATATATCTATGCCAACTGTAAATACAGGTCTGATATTTATCTTTAATGGTTGATTCCAAAATAGTTTCCTCCCACCAGCCCAAGTACAGGTTAGCAAAGCTAGGGGCACAAGCTGTACCCATAGCAGTGCCCCTGAGTTGGAGGTAATGAGTTCCATTGAATACAAAGAAGTTGTGTGTTAAAACGTATTCCAATAGTTGAATAATAAAGTCACTTTGTGTTGAGGTAAATGTGTTTGATTTGTTTAGAGGTATCTAGTTGCCACAATCCCCTTTTCATTTATTATAGAGTGCTACAACATCTAGACTTCCTAAGAGACAATAGGGTGGTACTACAAGATCTTCCAGCAAAATGAGTGTTTGCTTAGTATCTTGGAGGTAAGATTTTAAAGTAATCACCAACGGATGTAATAGTTTCTCAAAATATTGGCTACTTCTTTCAGTGATGGAGCTGTTCCCAGTGACTATTGGTCTCCCTGGTGGATTGTTGATGTTTTTGTGTATCTTTGGAAGGCAACATAACGTGGCAATGGTCGGGGTCAGATGTGGTAGTATGAATCTATATTCCTCTTTTGTTATGATTTTATTCTCTAATGCCGGTTCCAGAATACATTTAAGCTCTTTTAGGTAGTGTGTGGTAGGGTCATTAGGCAATTGCCTGAATGCTGATGAATCCCTAAGATGTTCCGTACACATCTCTATATATTGTTCTCTGTCCATTATGACCACACACCTTTATCAGAGGGTTTGATAATGATTTTAGGTTCAGTATTTAATTCCTTGAGAGCAGCTATTGGGGTATTATAACTTTTATCATTTTATCAACTTTTATCATTTCTCTTCATCCCTATATAGGGGATATACATATATTGATAAATCCCTTTTATCTTTATATGTCTACCATTGGATAATTAAGTATACATTCTATTACTGTGCTCTGCCAGTATTGAATTGTTAGTAATAACATCTCCCCCTAACAATATGCAATACAGCAGTTAGTGGGAAAATAAGATTTTCACTATTATGGTAATTTCCACTAGAGGTTATACCCCTTCTTCTAGTGTACCATATCAGGCTGTATACAGTGTTTTCTAATCTGCTAAATAGTACATTTTGGGGCCTGCACTTCATATCTGAGAGTCAAATAAAAGCGTCTAATACTATGGATACAGCGAAATTGGAAACATTCTAATTGTTTTGGTGCTAAACTGCTAAATAGTACATTTTGGGGTGTGCACTTCATACCTGAGAGTCAAATTGAAACGTCTAATAGTGTGCTCACAGCGCAGTTGTAAATATTCTAATTTTCTGGGTGCTAATCTGCTAACTAGTACATTTTGTGGCCTGCTCTTCATATCTTAGAGTCAAATAGAAGCATCTAATACTACAGTTATAGCGCAATTGTAAACATTCTAGTTGTTTTGGTGCTAAACTGCTAAATAGTAAATTTTGGGCGTACTCTTCATATCTGAGAGACAAATCAAAGCATAACTTTGATTCGAATTTACTACATCGGTCACTTGTAATATTGTTTCACACCTACAACACTTGTCACACAGATCTAAGTGATAGAAAACAGATTGATATTTTCTACACTAGAAACTACCAGATAACAAGCTGCTATATTTAAACCAGTTATAAATAGCTAAGAGGTACTTCAGCAATATTGTAATTCTGGGGCAACACCCTCACAAGTCAAACTGAGAGGTCAGTTTATAGGGAAAACTGTTGCCTGGATACAATTCTAAAGCAATTTCCATATGTCCTTTGCAGACTTTACATGCTGTAAAAACACAATTGCCAACTGCTGTGGCTTTCTGCAGTGTGCATACCGGCAAGGAGGGCAGGGTTGAGGAGTGGGTGGAAGATGATGTGGAGGATGATGAGGTCCTAGACCCCACATGGAATCAAGGTCATGCAAATGACGTGTGCAGTTTGGAGGAAGAGGCGCTGGTCGCACAGAGGCACCAGCACAGCATAAGAGGGAGCAGGGTGCAAAAGCGGAGCGGCCGTCCCCTAGCGCTCGTCGGCATGTATTAGCTCGAGAATTACCAGTTATCCAAGTAATACATGAAGCGATCAAAGGATCCATAATAGAGTTGAGCGAACCTGAAATGCAAAGTTCGGGTTCGTACCAGATTTAACGATCCATACGTAGTTTCACAGTCAGGTGGGCAGTCCGGTGACGATGACCCAGACACTGTCTGGGCGGCAGTCGAACAACCGGGACACAGTATGCCTGATGTTGAAGTTAGGAGTCACAGTGTGGAATGGATTAGCAGGGTCTGGTGCAGGGTAACCGCACGCCCCCTGGCGTTGAGCACCTGCGTTTGTGCGGCCACATACCAGGACCCTGATGCAGCTTCAGTAAAAAGAGTACTGGATACCAGAAGCCATCACCAGACTGATCCGCAACTTGGAACAGGATGTGACATTCACTGTAGCGGCTATGCGCGCTTTTGGCGTTGTCACCCTGCTGCTGCTCGCCTGTCTGCGCTGCAGCGTAACTTCGGCCTTCGTGCTCACCGCCTCATGCAGGCGATAGTGGAGTTTCAGCTGCAGCATGCACGGGTCAGTGGCTCTGCACCAGACTTCCCTCCAATTGATGACAGTTAAAGGATTTCAAGTGGACTCATTACAATTACAGGGCCTCTAAAGAGTCCTGTATTGTTATTTGTCATCACTACCTTCCCGCGTCAGGAGTGGGTCATTTGCGTGCCTGCTGCCTTCCTTGCATGTGGTAGCCATTTCTCAGGGTCCCTGTACGGAATGGAACCCTGATTCCCCGTTACCCGTGGTCTCCATGGCAGGCGCAGAAACTGGCATCGAAAGTTGATATGGATGACGTCTGCATGTAAAGTCGCCGCCACGGGGATGTGCGATTGGCCCGAGGTTCTCTAGAGTCAACAAAGTGCCTGCGCAATTATAATGTCAACAGCTACTCTGCGGAACAGAGTTGTCTTTTTTTATATGTCCCAATATTTTGTGGGCTACCACAATTTAAAAAAAACAAAACATAAAAAACAGTGTTGGCTACCTCATCCTCCTCCTCCACCACTGCTTCTACCTACACCGCCACGGTCCCCGCCTCCTCAACCTATGGGTCACTTAGTATAAACTAGGTATACATTAGCAGAGGCTTGTGAAGGCCTTTTCTCCATGCATCAGGAGTTGAGCATTTCTCCATGAATCAGAACTGCAAGAAATGCACCGCAGGCCGCAAATGTTTCTTTTTTTGTATGTCCCAATATTTTGTGGGCTACCACAATTAAATTATAAAATATATATATAAAAAACAATGTTGGCTACCTCATCCTCCTCCTCCACCACTGCTTCCACCTACATCGCAACGGTCACCGCCTCCTCAACCTATGGGTCACTTAGTATAAACTATGTACACAATAGCAGAGGCTTGTGAAGGCCTTTTCTCCACGCATCAGGAGTTGAGCTCAGTTTGAACAATGAAAGAGAATACCCTGCACTCCAATCCTCTCTCAAATGGATAATTCTGTTGATCCTCCTGACAGCCATGCTTTAGATTTTGATTTATGTTCTTCCAAAGCTAAAATCAAAGATTCCATCTAGTTCTATTTTATCGCTCAGTTGTATTTTTAATTTTTATGTTATTTTAAGTGATTTCCCTATCCACATTTGTTTGCAGGGCACTTGTCCTACTCTTATCCCCATTTAACTTGCTTTTGCAGTTCTCTAGCTCTTTCCAGGAGTTTTTTAGAGGCATTTTTGTGGCCAAAGTTCGGGCCCCCATTGACTTCAATGGGGTTCGGGTTCGGGGTCAAGTTCGAGCCCGAACCCGGACGTTTTTTCAAAGTTCGGCCGAACCCGCCGGTCTCGAACGTCCCGGTGTCCGCTCAACTCTAACCCCAATCTATCTTTTGCCCCGCACATAGAAAAACTTGCATCTAAACTTTATCCAAAACCAGCTGCCCTGTACAGAAACAAATCCTGCCTAAGCCTTACAGTAAAGGAAAACATTGTACAGCAAATGCTGATGCCAATCATTGATTATGGGGATGTAGTGTATGCACCTGCACCGCAAACCCACCTTAATAAACGTAATACATTGTATAACTCATTCTGCCGATTTGTGCTACAATGTAATTACAAGACCCACCATTGTGACATGCTAAAAGAACTAAACTGGCTGTTGCTGGAATCCAGACGCACCCTTCATCTTGCAAGCCTTGTGTTTAAGAGCTTTTCTGTGAAGCTCCCACCCTACCTGAGCAGAATGCTCTCCACGGCTGTTCCCACCTCCTATAACCTTCGATCCAGTACCAGCACTTAATTTAGTCTACCTCAATACAAAAAGAAAGTGGCTCGATTCTCCTTTTCCTACAGAGCACCGCAATTATGGAACAACCTCCCGCACACTTTCAAATCTTCCCCAAGCCTAAAATACTTTAAGAGATCCCTCTCTACATATCTCAAAACAGAATCCACCTGTCATGGTTGATTATATATTTCCTACCTGTTCTATGTTAAATTTTGTATTTATTGTGTATTAATATTGGTTTTGTATTTTATTGTACCCTATTGCATCAATGCAATGTTTTGTGGACCCAGGACATACTTGAAAACGAGAGAAATCTCAATGTACCGTATTTTCCTGCATATAAGACGACTTTTTAACCCTGGAAAATCTTCTCAAAAGTCGGGGGTCGTCTTATACGCCAGGTATAGGGTTTCCTAAAAGTTGGGGGTCATCTATATGGCTGCCTAGGGCGCCATATAGGAGGGGGCGCCCTGCGCCGCCATCGCCGGCCCTTCTAATGCTGCAGCCACCTGAGCACTCTATAGAGAGCCCCAGGCGGCTGCAGCACTGCCTCTCTCCTCATTTCCCCTTCCCTATGTAGCGTGGGTGGCCGAGCTCCTCTTCGTCCTGTCAGTCCGGCCGGGTACCGCGCGGTACAGGAGATTCAGTTACCTGCCCCATGCCACCCCAGTCTGAGTACAGTTTGCCCCATTTCGCCCAGCCTTGGTAGTGTTTGCCCCATGCACCCCATAAATTCCCCAAATCCAGGTAGCCAAGTCCAGCCAGGTTTAAAATACGGTAGTCACAGCAGAATAAAGGGTTAAGAATTGGCAGTATGTGCATATATCGCAATTAGCCTCCTGTGTGCTAGACCAGCAGGCATGGATTATATGCCCAAACAGCCTGGCACATACCTGGGCTTTAAATGCTATTTCACATTATCATTATTTAATGTCTTGCTGTGTAGCTCTGTCTGCTCACTGTACATCATGGCTAATTTTTATTTGGTGTGCGTTGGAAGAGAGGTAGTCTTATACGGCGAGTATATCCCAAACTCTATATTTAACTGGAAAAGTTGGGGGTCGTCTATATGCCGGAAAATACGGTATCTCTCCTGGTAAAATATTTTATAAATAAATAAATAATTTGATGGTGATTTTCTAAGTTTTATTCAATGGGATACATTCTAGAGAAGTGACAGTTCCATTTTAAAAGTAGTAAATATGACGGTACGTTTTCTGAGAGAATGGATGTTTTTTGTCTAAATTTAGAATTTGACTGGACTGCTTTCATCTAAGTACATTTAGTAAATTCCTAAATAATTACATAGTAGATATGCCACAACTAAATATTGTGTAGCACTTGTTTAAGAAACTCAGTCTTATTCTAAAGTATTTGTGAAGCAACTTCTCGGAAATATTAAATTAACTTTAGGTCTGAGCACCTCCCTCTTGCAACTTGCAACATCTGTGGCATTGTGCTGTGTAATAAAACTGCACATTTTAGAGTGGTCTTTTATTGTGGCCAGCCTAAGGCACACCTGTGCAATAATCATGCTGTCTAATCAGCATCTTGATATGCCATACCTGTGAGGTGGATGGATTATCTCGGCAAAGGAGAGGTGCTCACTAACACAGATTGAGACAGATTTGTGAACAATATTTTGAGGGAAATAGGCCTTTTGTGTACATAGAAAAAGTCTGAGATCTTTGAGTTCAGCTCATGAAAAATGAGGGCAAAAACAAGTGTTGCGTTTAGAATTTAGTTCAGTAGGTATGAGTAAAGTCTGTTGTATATTTTAGTTGTTGAACCCTTTCCTATCAAAACCACATTTTTACATCACGTGACATATGCAAACAACTTAGTACAGATATGCAATTGATAACAGCTACATTTAAGAACAGGCGAACTGATATCTAAATTGTTAGCTCTTAAGCACCAACAATGGTCAGTGCTGTCTTAAACACCTGATCTTTAAGGAATCTATTTGACATTAGGACTTTGTAGAGCTGCAAATGCAAATGGAACAGGTCAGTCATGTTGGCCCAAAATGCAACTGGTCATTAAGAAATGAATTATAAAGTAATATGAAAATATTAAATGAAAGGAAATAAGCAATGTTTCTCTCTCCATAGTTCTCCAATAGTTTTTTGGAATCATTACATATCCATATTCCATAATAGACCTTTAGCCCAAATGGTACTTAGCTAATTGTAAATATATTTTGCATTGTTCATTTGCAACAGTATTTTAAATGAGCTAATTAGGTCTATAACATGATTTTCTATTCAAAACAGGCAGCCTTAGAAAAAAAATCACAATAATAATAATTTTCCAGTATGTTTTTTTTAATAAATAGCCCTGCATTTCTTCTCTCATGTAGCACCTGCAGTCTATAAAAAAACACACAATCTGCTGCATGTATTTACATATACTTAAATCTCTACAAGCATACAAAGAAGAAAATAACATATTCGTTTTGAAAGATGATATGGATGTCATAATAAGTCAATCATCACATGTAAAATGTAAGCCAAATGTGTGTGATTTTTTTTTAATGCAGAACACCACCTGAATTTATTTAACATGAAATATGTTGTAGCTGTAGCTGTAACTAATTATAAAGCAAAAATGGAACACACACACATTTTTAAAAAAATATATTATTTATTTATTTTTGTTCAATAAATTTAATCTGCACAATGATTAACTGGTGATTATTAATGATTAAACAAAGTCATTATAGTGCCTTTTATTGCTCTAAAAATAAATAAATAGTTTTTTCTTTTTGTAATTTCTTTACCTAAATATCCTAAATCATGAGTCATAACTGCTCCCCTGTGCACGTTTGTGAAGAGCTAGCTAGTAGCAAAGCCATCTTTATTCACGCACTAAAAAAAGCAAATCTTTATTTTTCACATAACACAAATACAATTAGAAAAGCAGAAACAGAAAGTATAACAGACAGACAGAGCACATGATCAGTTGAAACACATGGTTGGATGCTATTTATTAAAAAGGGAATTATGAGTGAATGAAATTGGGAAGAAGTAGGTATCCATCTGGCATTTCCAGTTGATTGTAAGTGCAGGCTTTCCTCAGAAAAAGAAAGGATTAAAATAACCGGGTCAGTGTAAAGGAATACTCCATCAGTTTTGGCTCCTTTTCATTGCCAGGATTCGTGCCCAAGTTTATTTAGTTTATTTTGTTCGGTTCCCGAACTGAGACCACCTCAGAGAGCCATTAGAACATGGAATGTTAAGTATCTTGTACAAAAACCACAACGAACAAATTAATGAAATGCTCCACTGGTGGCCGCCATTTTGTGCATGTGAACGCACGTGTTCGGGACAATGGATGGCGGACATTTTGTCTCCCGAACGCAGGAAGCGGGACTTGGTAGTCGAGTGCCTGGAACTCATTTCGTTCAGGCATTCCCGCGAACCTCAGGCATCATGGACCTGCTACCCGTTCCTATTACCATACACATATACGAACGGCGTTCACACAGGGAGTATTCTCCACTTATCTGCTTTTGTCTAACTTGTGTGGTTTTCATGCAAAACCCCACGAACAGAGACTGTCTCTTGCCACAACTTCACTGGAACTATTTTGGGCTTCAACCTTGTGGCAGACCAGTCAAAACCTCACTGCGGTGGTGATCCAAACTACCAAATGGATCTGGGTGATTTTTGGATCATTTGTTCACCCAGATCCCGCTACCTGGGGATGTGACTTTTGTGGGGTTTCCATGTATTTTGAAGGTACTTTTAGAGTGTTCAGAAATTGTTATACTTATTTGTCCCTGGAGATA